TTTTTACATTGGAAATGTTTTACATAGTTAATGAACAAAATTATATTTAAAAATCCAAAACCTCTAAATATTAAAAACAATGAAAACAAGTACATCTAACTATATAGGAAATTAATTGTATAACTACATGGGATATAATTATTTTGAATTACTTTACTTTTTTTTTTTTTTTTTTTGAGTTGGAGTCTCACTCTGTCGCCCAGACTGGAGTGCAGTGGCCGCTCCCGGCCACCGCAGCCTCGACCTGCTGGGCTCCGGCGATCCTTCCGCCTCAGCCTTCCAAGTAGCCGGAATTACAGGCATGCGCTACCACACCCGGCTGCTTTTTTTATTTATTGTAGAGATGAGGTCTCACTGCCCAGGCGGGTCTCGAACCCACGGGCTCAGGCAATCCACTCACCTCAGCCTCCCAAAGGTGTGGGATTACAGGCTGAGCCACTGAGCCCGGCTAAAGTAATATTTTAAAAGATCTCACATCCCTTTACACTTACCATACAAACACCTCCTTTTCTCCTCACCAAAATTATAACAGTGAACAATGATAACAATTGTTTGTTATAAAACTTGTTCTATTTCTTCTCTTATTTGAAAATATCAAGCCGTATTTTCATGTGTCTGAACAAATGTGATGTTATTATTCAACATGTATGTTAGCTTTACAGTGGGGTTGGGGTGTACTTTGTATCAGTTACAGAACAAAATCTATTAATGTGGAGAACCGGATAAACATAAAAATCTCTGCTTCTAGAAATAAAGAACATAAGAAGTATTGCAAAAAAAGGGGATTGCTTTTCCTTTGAAATTTTGGTCAAGTCATAAATGATTCAAGGATAAGGAAGAAGAAAGAGGATAAAGAAAAGAGAGAAAGTTTGGGTTAAAATGTATTTTTTCAAGAAAATCACCAATAAAATGACTAGCATACAGTTCTTCTCAGTAGTATACACAAACACAAGTATATATTTATAATGATCCAAGAAATTGTTCATACTGATTAAGGAGATTAATGAATGTCTTGACATTTAGGAAAAATGGAGGATTGCAGGTGAAAAGACACATGAAGGTCCTCAATAAGGATCTTAAAAATAGAAGATACTCAACAAATGTTTACTGCAACCAAATCTGAAATGCTCACTGTCTTTGTTCTTTCTCTCCTTTCAGCTAGAAAATCTGGAAGCAGAAACTGCTCCTCTGCCCTAACTGGGTATCGCACCATTCAGACCCTTCACCAAGCTAGAAACCACCATCTGTGTGGAAGCAGTTCACTGCAAGTATGTGTAGGAGGCTCTCGTTGCTAGGAAAGTGCCTGCTTTGAGGTCATAAAAATGCTTTCCTCTCTGGCCACTCCATTCTGCACATCAGAGGGACAGCCAAAGGCAACCTAGCGTTTAGAAGAAAAGGAATATTACCACACTAATAAGTCCAGCTTGTGAATATAATCACAAGGAAGACATCCAGTGGGACCAAAACACATCGTGGTATATGAATTGAGGTTGTCATAAAAGGTGACCCTGCTATTGGTAACGTTTTGTTTTCAAGCAAATATTTACGACCTCATCAAAGAAAAACCATTGATTGCTAAGTTCAACATCATCACACGAAGTAAATGCTACCTCTGATTCAAGCATCTTGTGTGGAAAGTCCAAGTCTTTCTAGTGTTTTGTAAGAAAACACATTATTCCATTTTTGACCTTTAAGGTTCACCTTAAAATGGTCATCTGGCTAGGACATCATTTCCACTTCCATGTCTTGGTTTTATGTTGTTTAAAAGGATAGCATCTCACTGGCCTAGCTCCATAACAGCAAGGGAAGAGGTTAGCATGAAAGATCATCTGAAACATAGTCACATGTCAGCTGCAGAAAGGTAGATTCTCATGCACTGCAAATACTAAGAACCATAATGAGGGATCTTCCATTCTTAGACTTTCAGTCGTTAGCTTCCCAGTTTTAAATGTGCAAATCCTTTGTTCCTATTTAAGTGTTCACAAAAGGTAATAGTTAGCCAATGAGTTCATCACTTCACCCATGCAAGAAATCAAGCATTAAAATGTACTCTTCATTTCTCACTAATTTCTCCATACTGCGTGCTCCTCACATATATTATTTTTTCTTTTTTTAACTCAGTTCAGAATACTTATGTCCTTTGAATCAGCATGATAAAATGACAGATGTTTTTGTTGATTGCCAGAACAGCTTAAGCTTAAAAAAAATGGATCCAATAAACTTAATCTCAAGACAGAAAGACTCAAATGACTATATAGAAAAATGTGTGATCTACTTTTCAATCTGGTGTAGTTACTTGGACATGAAATATTAATCGCCCAAAAATATTTCTCTGAAGATGGTGTTGATCTCTGCTAAATATCAAGATGTCCCTTGTAAAGAGTCAATCTTCTAAGCAGCTTCTCTAAGACAATTCTCCTCTTTGGTTGGTTTTCTTTGCTATGAAATACAGTAGATATTTGCAAGCACCCATTTTATTTTATCTTTATAGACAGCCAAGTCAAATGGCCCATGCTGAGAAGCTCTCTACTTTGAACATTTGTCAGCACTGATTAAATGAATCGAATACAATGTAGTTATCTGTGAAGACACAAATAGAAAACAAAGAAATGTGGCTTCTTTTATGAGTATTTCTGAGTCTACAAGCTGCCTGCAGACTCGACATAAAATCTGTATCCCTTCCTCAGTCTAATAAGGCACAAAAATGCACCAGACACCCAAAGGCAATTCTTCTGGAAGACAACTATCGTGGATCAGAATAACTGAATTTACTGTCTCAGAACTAACTGGCTGTAGTTATGTGGCCCGAACACATGTATCCATTAGATGAAAAAATCAAAAGCCCAAAAGCCAAGATAAGTGTTTTAATGTTTCCTTCTGATGAAGTCTCATCTCATGTTTACTTCTAATAATCTCCATTTCTCAAATATTATGTTCCAGAATAGATGTGTATTATGTTTAATTTTTTTTTATATTTTCTGATCAAAATAATGAAAACCAGGGCCTTAAAGATTTAGAATGTTTGTATTTGTGTATATATGTTTACATACATGCACTACCAGAACTTCCATAAGCAAAATGGATAATTCAAATGGAACACAACAAGGGAGAATGAAAGATTTGTATACAAGTCACTGGGGAAGAAAGTTTTTGCTTTTAATGGGCCATAATAACATGAGTTCTCAAGGGATCACATAGTATTGCTTTTGATCTTTAGGCTGTTTTTCAACAATCGTTATTTCTGCCGCATGACCAACTCTTAGTGTGAATTATCTGGCATGTTGCTGAATACAACTTAGTCTTTATGTAGGATTTGAATTTATCTTCTCTTACAAATGTCATGTGTGTGAACAAGGCTATTCCACACCTTTTTTTAGACTCTGCATAGAAGGAGTTTATTTTTTATTTTTTATTTTATTTTATTTTAAAGATGTGGGGTACAATTCAGGGTTAGGTATACAAATGGTCATTG